TCATTAGCTGTGAGCTAAGGGATTGGTGGGATCAAGACCTACTCATGAAAGTACAATTGTGACGCCTTTTGCTACTTCAGAGTAGTATTCTAGAAAGTTATGAGTGTATTTTTTAGAGTAAGACATAAATAAGAAAATTGTGAAAATTACATTTTCGATAAGCTATTAATTATGTAATATACTTAGTTTCAACACAGAGTGACACATTCCTATATTTAATTTCATAAATATTGAGTAGCTTTTGTTAATCTGGCACTGGGATAACTTGACAAAAATGATAATTCTTACTAGTAAAATTCATACATTAGCATGTAAAAACAGAATAAGCATTAAATAATCTTAAATGTCATAATATTTGAATATCCTAACTAGATGTTGATAGGTGATTAAACTAGCTCGTTTTAGGCATTGGTACTGACAACACCTGCACGTCAGAAGGCTTCAAGTGTTTCCTAGGGTGGACAGGCTCCACATTCTTGAGACAGGACAACTGGGTAAAACTGAAAGAATGTTTCTAAGTCAGGGCTCGTGATTAGTGTGGTGAAGTCTGAAGGAGAGGGTAACACCAAACTGGGCTACATAGTGAAAACGTAACTGACTTCTGCCTAAAGAAAGAAGAATAAGGGTAGGGGGAGGAATAGTGACTAAGAGGAAGCTTTGATATTAATCAGTCCATTGGAATGACTGTGAATTTTTCGAGGCTTTGAAATTTGGAAGAAGCATAATGTACTTTGCCAGTATTGGTTACTTGATTTTATCTGAACTGTGGACTTCATCTGGTTGTATTTTATCATTATTTAATATCTTTTTGGAAAGTAATTATTGAATTTTTATTTGTTTCTTTTGTGAGAGTCTATAAATCTCATAGGTTTTTAAAAAATGACTGTATTGCTGGGTGTGGTGGCTCATACCTAATTTGTGCACTACGGAGGCAAAGGCAGGTGGGTCTCTCTGCAAGTTCTAGCTTGGTCCATGTAGTTAATTCTAGGACATCTAGGGCTATAATATAAATATATATTCTTTTAATGTTATTTGAAATGATTTAGATACAGGTTTTCAAAAGTATAAATGTTAACTTTTAGGTAATCTTTTTTTTTTTTTTTAAGCAGAGAATGTTTTGTTTTAAGATTTAGTATTTATTGTGTATACCATGTTGTATTTGCATGTACACCTGCATGCCAGAAGAGGGCACCAGATTTCATTATAGATGGTTGTGAGCCACCATGTGGCTGCTGGGAATTGAACTCAGGACCTCTGGAAGAACAGCCAGTGTTCTTAACCTCTGAGCCACCTCTCCAGCCCCTAGATAATTGGGTTTTGATTGTAAGGAAACTATTGACTTTGTCTTTATTTTTTGGGGGTATCAGATTTTAGGCAATGAGATGGAGATGTTTAAAATATAAATTAAATGAACAAAAATTGGATTTATACTCAGTGTTTAACCAAATTCTTAGTTCATGGAACAAAATTTTGTGGGAGGAAACTGTCATTTTGGTTTTTTTTTTTTTTTAAACTTACTTAAATCTGGAGAAGTCATGGAATGACAAAAGCTGAAAAGCAGACTTATTAATCAATTATAATAATATTGAATTCTGTCATTTTAAAAAGTGTAGGGGAAAGTATGGTTATGTAGGGGAAAGTGGTTTATAAAGCTGACAGTTTTAAGTTTAGTGTGCAGAAATGCTTTGGATCCGGATTGTGTTTGGTTCAGTATTGTGAGGCCCTAATCAGCTAAGTACTATAATCCTCCTTCGAGTACATTCTTACTTGACCTGGAGCTATATACAGCCACATAGTAACAGTATTAAAAATAAACTTTCCTTAACAGGCCCATCATTATCATATTGGATGGCTTCCTCCTTGAATGAGTGCTCTTTTATGTGTAACTTCCAGCAGTTGAGTTTTGTAATCAAATGATTGCAGGCAAAGACAGTCTTTCAGATCATCTGATTAAGGATGGCTCCTATGATTTTGCTAGGGTTAGAAGGATTAAGAGAAAGCACTGCCTGGCATAATGTTGATGTATTTTCATCAGCGTGATGCTTCATGCTCGACAGATGTCCGTTGCTTGAACAAAGGTAAAAATAAAAACACTAAATATTGTTATTTGTAAAATTTTCATGCTTTTTATAAGTATAAATTGCTTGGTTAAGCTTTTTAAAAGGGAACTATAGGCATGGTATGTATCTATTGCATGTTCCATATGATCATATGCTTTGGTTAAATTTTCGATGTATTATAGTTTAAAAACTTTGAATTTTGACTTTGGGAAATTATATCTAAACTATATAGTCAGCATTATATAACTTCATGAAGTATTCTTTTCATTCAGTGTTGCAATATCCATGTTTTACAAAGCATTAAAAAATATGGAGATATGCAGATTTTTGAATCTTTGAATGTCATCTATATAGTCTTACATTTTTAAAATGACAGTTATTAAATATAAAAAGATGGTGTTTTTCTGGTTTATTTTAATGTTCAGCAAATATAATGTTCAGTATATTTTATTTGTAAAATAGTTGTTTTTAAAATGATCTTTACCAATAAGGAATTTTAGTTGGAATAAATAGCTAATGCTAGTTGTAATATAAAAATTCAAATTTATAGAGTGACTTTCAGCATCATTGGAATTCTTAAAGTCTCATATATTATTAGGTAATAGTTAAAAACACACAAATATTAAGGCTTATCTTTTCATGTGTTCTGTCCTTGTCCTTACAGAAGTTTTCAAATTCTGTTGCTGTATTTTAAGAGATTTGATGGATGATTGGTAAATATGTTCAGTGTCATTGGCGCTATCATTAACACAAACTATTTAAGATGGCCATTGGAAATAACAATAAAAGCAGGAAGAATAATAAGCAATATATAAACAGAAACTGCATCTGAAATATTAGAAGTATAACAAATTTGAAAAAAGTTATGTTTTTGCCATTTTCTCATTAATCATCATTTTGCAGAAATGAAGTTTTAAGTAGTTAGTTTGTAGGTTTTCCTACTCCAATCATTATGCATAGTCAGATAAGCATTTATAGTAAACCACTTTGGTGCTTTATACAAGCAGAATATTTAGAAAAAAGATCTCCTAAGCAGTGACAGAAAAGCTACTTGTTAAGTTAGGATTTAGGATATTTCAAAAGTGACTTTGTATTAATGAATCCTATTAAGAATCCTATTATGGTCAAAGAAAAAAAAGAATTCTGGCCAATTTGGTTTAATAGTGAGAAGTAGGCATATATATATATATATATGTGTGTGTGTGTGTGTGTGTGTGTGTGTATGTGTGTGTGTATGTATATATATATATGTATATATGTACATTGGAATATAAGTACATGCTGATATATCAGGAAATAGGAATATACAGAATGCATAAGAGAAAAATTTAAGGTACTATATAGTATCATATATATTTTATTAGAAAAATGTGTATTTTTGGCTTGTGTCTTTTAATTACCCAGAATCTTTGAATCATTATCCTAGAACCTTCTAGATAAATTGCTTTGAATTATGACTTCAGGGTTGAATGTTGTTAAATGCTTTATTATTCTCTTAGAGAAATTGATATATTATTGTTTATTTTGGTTATCATTTTTCCCTGAGAATAACAAATACTAAAGCTTATTTTATAAAACATTATACAGGCTGGTATCAATATACACATTAGACATACTTGAATTTTAATGGAATTTTCTTAGTTCCTGAAAATACAGTAGGATTTAAGAACATATAAATTTTAAAATTTAAAAGATAGTATATATGAGCTAATTCATTATGTACTTCGTAGGGGACTTCTTGTCACAATATTTTTACTATGTTAGATTAACATAGTAGATAGTAGCTCATTTATCTTCAAGGGTCTCACCTGGCTCTGATGGAGTTTTAATATACGTTAGTGTAGTAACCCTCCCAATTTGAGTTTTCAATCACTATCCCATTTTTACCTAGTCCAGTAGAAATTATCGTGTGTACTCTGGTTCACATGCTTCAGTCATATTTCATAATCTTTACAACAAATGATTGCTTCAGTATTGAATTTAAGTTTCCTGTAGAATGATTATTTAAAAAAAAACAAAAAACAGTTTTAGCCAGGACTCTATATTAATGATCTTTCCTTTGGAACTGAATTCTGTAATTGGAGGTCTTTTTTTTTTTTTTTTTTTTTTTAATTTGTTGCTTATAGTTAGATTCCTCTGTTAAGACTCACTGTATTTACTTTATACTTATTTTCAAAACGTTCATGTTTTTACCTTGAGGTAAGAATAAATTATCTTTCTCAATACTTCTGTACTGCATGATTCTAATTATTCTACTGGAAATCCTTAATACTTTAAGCTTTATTTAAGCAAATTAATGTGATGAGGCTTTGGTATCACTGTTATAAGATTTTAGTCCCTGGTTCCTGAGAAACTGGAAGAGGATCTTAGGAGCATTCAGGTTCTTAAGATCAGGGGCAATAGTTTTTCACTCATTTATTTGCTTCTCATCTATAATTCAGTGTGCAACATTAGTACTTACCCAGTATATCTTTATTAAAATAATCTGAGTCAGGGTGTGTAATCTATATCTCTTATTTGAAAATACAGACTTGCTGAGATTAGGTGCATAACCACAACTAAAAAATTCAGATTCAGTAACTACGCTGTAATTTTCATGGTACACTCTTACTGTAATGGAGTTTTTTTCTTTTTAATCATTTGTATAAAAATAATGCCAAAAGTAAATTTAATGGTATACAACGTGCTTGCATGACACATGTGTGCACACACAGACACACAGACACCCATGGTGTTGTATAGGTTAATATTATAATATTATAGTATTTTTATATAGTATAAGCTATTTGTACTATATTATAATTATATAGTATAAGCTATCTCTTTCACAGGAGGAAAGACCAAAAAAATCTACATGAATTTATGCATCTACCTGGCAGTGAATCAGTAAAGTCTAAAAAATTTTAAATGTCTTCTCATAGTGTTATTCTTTGGTTCTAGAAAAAGAAGTCCATCAGTGTCCAGGGATCAAAATCGAAGATACGACCAAAGTGAAGACAGAGAGGAATATTCACAGTATGTTCCTTCAGATAGCACAATGCCTCGATCTCCATCAGACTATGCTGATAGACGACCTCAACGTGAACCTCAGTTTTATGAAGAGCCTGACCATTTAAGTTACAGGGATTCTAACAGGAGAGGCCATCGACATTCCAAAGAGTATGTTGCAGATGACGAGGATGTGGAGAGCAGAGATGAGTATGAGAGGCAAAGGAGAGAGGAGGAGTACCAGGCACGCTACAGAAGTGACCCAAACTTGGCCCGGTATCCGGTAAAGCCACAACCCTATGAGGAACAAATGCGGATCCACGCAGAAGTGTCCCGAGCGCGACACGAGAGAAGGCACAGCGATGTTTCTTTAGCAAATGCTGAACTAGAAGATTCCAGGATTTCTCTGCTGCGGATGGACAGACCGTCAAGGCAGAGATCTATATCTGAACGTAGAGCTGCGATGGAAAACCAACGCTCTTACTCCATGGAAAGAACTCGAGAGGCTCAGGGACCAAGTTCATATTCTGAAAGGACCACAAATCATAGTCCTCCCACCCCCCGGAGGAGCCCCATCCCCGTGGATAGAGACATGCGGCGGGCCGACTCTCTACGGAAGCAGCACCACTTAGACCCCAGCTCTGCTGCGAGGAAAGCCAAACGAGAGAAAATGGAGACAATGTTAAGGAATGATTCTTTGAGCTCGGACCAGTCAGAGTCAGTGAGGCCGCCTCCACCAAGGCCTCATAAATCAAAGAAAGGAGGTAAAATGCGCCAGGTTTCACTGAGCAGCTCAGAGGAGGAGCTGGCGTCCACCCCCGAATACACAAGCTGTGATGACGTTGAGATTGAAAGCGAGAGTGTGAGTGAGAAAGGTAAGCTCTCCAGGCACACACTTCACAGCCGTCCGCCACGCACGGGCTTTCTGGCTGTGGACTTCTCGGTCAACATTCAGTAGCTACTTCTCCTTGTGGTTCACGTATTTTAAAGGTGTTTGGCCATGTGAGAAAGACCCTAAATTATAAAAACGGAGTGCCTCTTGTTACCTGTGGGTAAAAAGCCTTGTTTTAAAAATGCTTTCTTGCTTTGTTCCTTAGGTTTCCTTGCATCATTAGATGGCACCGTATATTTACACATACCTAATAGTTCCAGTTTTAAATATAACATTTTTTTGCATTTCTTTATAAAAGTAGCAATGGGTTTACAATACAACATTTGAAACATTGTTCAGGTATTTTAAAGCATAAAATACCACCTTTCTTAAAACAAAAACAAACCAAATTGCTGTTAAACTTAGGATTCAACCCTTTTCTCTGAATGTAGACGTTTCAGATTTATGAATTTAGTATACATTGTAAAATAACTTTGTATCCTTTTTTCAAATGCTGTAATTATAAGCCTATTTTCAATTCATTTAGTATTCTTTAGAAATTTCAGTGGCTGCACTGTTGTTCTATCATAAGAATATCACGAGGTAAATATTAACTTGTTTGAAGTGTAGAAATTTCTTCTAAATGCTTACTTAATAATTTTTTGCCTACTTATCTGATTGTGTATATGTGTGTGTGTTTAGATTTTGGAGTTTTAAAACTTTAATATTTTAGAATTGCTTTCTAAAAAGGTTCTTAACATTTTTTCTGCTGTTGTCATATGCTTGAACTTTTTATTTCAAAGCACCTTTTTTTTTTTTTTTTGTCTACTAAACAGGCCATAAAAATACTATATCTCATCTGAATTTTATTGTGATATGAATGTTTAACATTCAGTATCTTCTATGAGTCATTTGTTCATCCCTTTATTCCTTCTGGTGACTTCCTTCTGGATTGTTACTAGTTTTCTATAAGTGTTGTTTTATATATTAGAATTTTCTCTCATTAGCTGTTATTTGGTTAATTTGTTTCCTATTTGGATGCTTGTCTGTTAGGTTTCTTTCATCATTTGAGGACAGCAAGCTTAGCACAGCTACAGTTTCCTTTGTTGATTTTTTTTCTCATTATGCCCATGCATAGACACACTTTATTCATCTCCAAATCAATTAAGTATTAGCTGTATGTTTTCTCCTTCAAATTATTTTTAACCATTAACTTTTTGGTTTATTTTTTCTGAAATTTATTTTGGTGTATGATAAAGTATATCAGATTGGTGAGTATATAACATGAATTTTTCATTTCAACTTCTTTTTGTCAGTTTTATAATAATAGTTGGTAGTCCTTTTCTTTTTAAAATAATCAACACTAATAAGTAGAGGACCAGGAAGTTGTGAAGATTAAAACCAATATAGTGATTTATATGGTAGCAGAGATAGCTAGTTAGAAAATAAAAATCAAAAGTAGTTTCTAAACTAAACCCAGAAAAATGTTTTAAAAAAAAATAATTATGAAGACATGATGTTACTTGTAGGAAAAATGATAAACTTTTTGTCATAAATAAGGAAAATATGAATAGAGGTCATTCTATATTCCTATTTAAGAAGGCTAAATACTATAATGAAATGTACCAAACATAATGTTAGTAATAGCTACAGTCTCAATTGGATTCTTAAAATACCTTATTTAATAAAGTTAACAGCTTAATACAAACAGTAATTAAGAGTTGTAAAAAAAATTCACTTGACCAAATGCTAACAAAATATGAATAATTGGGAGTGTGTGGCTTGACAGAAAAAGTGACAGTTATCAGTGGAATTTAGTATAGTATATATATTTTAAGTACATTTTTTGAAGATTTATTTATTATTTATACAACATTCTGCCTGCACACCAGATCTTACTATAGATGGTTATGAGCCACCATGTAGTTGTTGGGACTTGAACTCAGGACCTTTAGAAGAACAGTGAGTATTCTTAACCTTTGAGCTATCACTCCAGCCCAATATAGTATATTTTAAAAGGCATGAATAATACTGTCTAAAGTCACTTCTGTACAAAAGAGGACATAAAATTTAAACAAATGGATCAGGGAAATGCATGTGCAATTGAAAAACTAAGTTACAGCCTTATTTCATAATTATTCTATTTGTGAACTGAGAAAACTGATATTATAGAAATGTAACTTCTAAAAGAGAACTGTAGGTCTCAATCAGTTTATTAAGGAACATGAAGAAATTAATTTTTTAAAGAAATAGTCTTTAATTATATTTAATGATGGTATTTTTCCCTTTTGGGTAAGTTATATATTATGATACAAATCAACCAAAATCTAATAGTAATTTTAGGTGGTTTGTTTTCTATTACAAGAGTTATATAATTTACTTATTCTTTGCTAAAATAATGCCATAATTTACTGAACAAGAGTATATCTTTACAAAACACAGAGGTATATCATTGTAATGTCTGAAAATTTTCTATGTGGTGGGCTTGTAGTGGTCTTTTGTTCAAAGTTTCTAAAGTAATGACATTAAAAACTCTCATAAAATAACTACATTTGTTAAACTCACAGGTAATACTGTTATGCACAGTACAACATATTATACAGAAGAAAATACATATCATTCACATCTATGCTCTACGCTAACTTGAACTCCTAGTGCCCACTTCTGTGTAGGGTCCTTCTTTTTGTCTATCTAAGAATTGTTTTATTGTGTTCAGGTTTTTTTGCTAATATACAGTAGTAAGAAGAAGGGTAGCAGTTGAGACCAGAGGTTTCAGAGAATATGCTTGTATCCTGTCTTGACTTTGCATCATTATGGAGACAGATTTATTTGTGAAAGGTATCAAATGTAGAAGTAAGCAATTTATAAACATAATCTTATTCTAAACATAATTATAATTCATAGCCACCTTAGGTCTTTAATGCATGGCATTCCCCCTCTAATTTTATTAGCAGCCTCTGAACATACTTTTTTTTTCCTTTGATATTTTTGTTGAAATGTCATTCTAATGAGGAGCAGTAAGATTTTGAAAGATAATCAACCTTTTGTTTGTCACCATAGGCTAGATAACTCCAAAGATTTTGTTTTACATCATGGTTTTGCCACTGTCTTTGCTTTTCTGATCCTTCTCAGTTTCTAATACATCAATCTCAGATCTTTGCAGGTAAATTTGACCCAAGTAGTCTAATTTAATTTTTTTTTATCTAATAATAGATATGTAGCATAAACTATATCATTGCAGAAAACTTCTTCTCCATCCTTATGTGAGTGTCTACTACATAGAAGATATTTCTTGCTGTCTTAATAATAAAGGTTCATCATTTAGTTTAAAACAAGCTTTGATTTTTTTTCATATAATTTGCTTTCCTTTTGGCTAGTCTTTTTTTTTTTTTTAAAAAAAACATTACTAGTACATTGATGCTTTTGACATGAATTTGATACTTAGGTTACATTTCACTATTGTGAATATATAGAATTTCACTCATTTAGAATCGTTGTCATTTTGCTTATCATATTTTATTAAGTAAGTGATGCTAATAATTATAACTTGCGAGTGGTTGTTTATTATTTGTTTAAAAGTGAAAAGGAGATTTAATAGGAAGAACATCTCCTTTTCAGTCTAAGAGATTCAGTCCTGAGTGTGTTCTTCACTGAGTATGCAGCTTTCTTCTGCCTTGTAAAACATTCTAGGTTGGGGCTGGAGAGATGGCTCAGCAGTTCCTGCAGAGGCTCTGAGTCAATTTCTATCACCCATGTGGTGGCCATTATTTGTAAATCCAGTTCTTGTACATCTGGCCTCTGCTGGCCTCTGCTGGCACGAGGCACACATGTGGGCACATAAATATGTGCCCACAGACAATCATATATGTGAAGTGAATCTAAAGTACTTAGGACTGTGTCCTTATCTTTGAATCTGTGAATAAGAATAGTAGCATATATTTTTGTGATTTGGTTACTGAAGAAATCAAATGAAACTATATGAACACATGATAATTAACAAGGAACAGGTATTCTGATCATTTTTAGAGTACTTATTTAATGTTCTATAGAAGTCAAGAATTCTACAGGATAATTCTCCAGCATTTTGGATGAATATGTAATTGTGGTTATGTGGATTGTGTTGCTGTCACCTCTTCTACAATCTGCCCTGTGTTAAAACTCCTCATTGCTGTTTAGGAAGCATATAGTGTTTAATTGGCGAGGTGTAATTTGAGCTATAATTCAATGCCTCAATAAATGTAAAGCATCTATTTTTCATTTTTCTGCCAAGAACTTTTTCCGTGCCTATTATTTAGAAGGTGTTGGATTGGATCCAGTGGAGAATGTAGAGGTAAATAGCATTCTTTCTCACCTCAAGAACTTAAGACTAAAATCCCTAGATACATAAACTTCAGCAGAGTCATTGGTTCCGTACTCTAATTTTTCTGTGCACCATTTGTCGTAGAATACTTATCTATTATTTTAGTTCCATGTGATATACTTACTTTTCAGATTAAGTTAATTACCTGCCCTGTTTGTGTTCATCTAGGCAATTATAAACTGATTGAAGTAAATCTTTAATGCTGATGCCACAGTGATTCTAACTTTACCTATTTAATGTTATTCTCAAAGTTTGGGTGTTTTTCATAAAGTTTATAACATACTTTTTACTTTGTTACTGTTGTTTCTTTAATCATCACGTTGGTAGTTGGTTCTAGACAACTGTATTTTATGAGACTGTCTTACACAGTCTGTTTCACAGCACCCCTAGCCCCTGCTTCCTGGGTGTCAGTCACACTGCAGGCCACCCATGACAGCCATAAATATGACCAGACACTGCCAGTCCTTTATGGAAGAGAGTTCATACCCTTATTCCCCACCTCCCTGGCCTTCTTTCTACTTTCCTTCCCTTTCTCCTTATTGATATGGTCACAACTAGTACATATTAAAAAGATTCTTCTAAAGTGGAGCTAAGCAGAAAAATACCAGACAAATTCACAGAGAAGGATAGTAATTCTGTAACAC